AAGACTGAGGAGACACTGGAGAAGGCGTGCGAGGATCTCTGGCGCTGGGTCAGCAACAACCCCAAGGGTTACCGACAGGACCCTCCCCCTGAGCTCCTTGCCAACGCCAAGCCCACGAGCGGTTAATCAAAAGGAGGGACGGATATGTATCAGTGCATCAGCCACATCTTGAAAAAAAAGAAAAAAGTTTGGTTGCTTATCATAGATGATGATAGAATTAGTGCTATTTGCAGCGAGAGCCATGATACGACATCCGCCATAGAGAGAGGATTTAATTAAAAAAAGAAAAAAAAGTTTAAGATACCACTCCCTCGCAGCACCTCCTGGTTGACCCGCTTTCATGAATATCATAGACGTGCGTTTAGTCAATCCACCTTGAGGATCAGCTTCCCCGTCGTGTTGCGGCTCTCCAAGTCCTCGTGGGCTTGCTTGACGTCCTTGAGCGGGTACGCCTTGTGGATGGCCACCTCCACCTTGCCCGAGGTAATCATGTCAAAGAGCTCCGTGCTGTACTTTTCCAGCTCCTCCCTGGTAGCAGTGTAGCCGTTGACAATGGGCCGCATGACCTTCAAGTTCTTGGGACCCAGCTTGAGGATGTCAAAAGGAGGAACGGCTCCCGACTGGAGGAATATGTTAGCGATGCTACTAGACTAGCAGACCACGTCTGAATGTTTGATGAAGAGCTTACCGCGTTGCCAAAGACGACCAACCTCCCCTTACGCGCCGCCATCTCGATATCGCTATCAAACGTCGCCTTTCCAACACCGTCGAAGATGACATCCACGCCGTGCCCGCCCGTGATCTTCGCCACCTCCTCCACGAGGTCCTGCGAGCGAGAGTTGACGATGAACTCTGCGCCGTTCTTCTTGGCCAGCGCGCACTTTTCATCGGTGCTCGTCGTGCCAATCACTCTCGCGCCCACGGCGCGCAGCATCTGCACGAGCTGCAGCCCGACGCCGCCGGCGGCCGCGTGGACGAGGACCCATTCCCCCTCCCTCACCTCACCCGCCTCGCGGATGAAAGTCCAGGCCGTGAGACCCTGCAGGAGCGCGGCGGCGGCTTTATCCGTGGCCAGCGCGTCGGGGATGCGCAGGAGCTGAGCGGCGTTGACGGCGGAGTAGCCCGAGTAGGAGCCAAAGGGGCCCATGTAGACCACGCGATCGCCTTCTTTGAACTGGCCAGAGACGGAGGGGTGGGACTTGACGACGGTGCCGGCGCCTTCGCGGCCGGGGGTGATGGGGAGGGGCGCTTTGTAGAGGCCGGTGCGGAAGTAGGTGTCGATGTAGTTTATGCCTGCGTATTCGTTGCGGACGAGGACTTGGTTCTCGGCGAGGGCGGGGAGGGGCAGGTCGGTGTGGTGGGTTAGGACTTCCGTGCCGCCTGTGCGGGGGATTTGGATGCCGTTCATTGTTTGGGGGAGGGAGGAGGATGAGGCCATTGTGAAGTGCGGGGCTGGGGAGAGGGAGGTTTGGAGGGTTGGTGATGGGATGAAGGTGCGGGTTTGGTGGTGAGTTCGGGTGAGGAAGGGTTGTGATGGGAGGATTCGCGTGGATTTGGCGAGGGTGATGAGGATTGGTGTGGGTTTGGAGCTTCTGGCGATGATGCGGATGGATGTGAAGGGTCGCGAGATGAGGAATTGGGACATTTGCGATGGGAGGAGAGGTCTCAGTCTCTTTTTCTTTATTTTTAGTCTGTAGCCTATGGGACGATGGAGGGGCGTTTACGCATACGCAGTATTGGAATAGCTTCCGATTGCGCTTGAGGTCACAATTGTGGTTTAGTCAGCGTTCCGATGAAGTGAGGGGAGGGGGGGGGGGGGGCTTTCTTTCCCATAAGAGGTGATTAGAAATGCTTCAGCTGTTCTCGCGCGTAGGAGCTATGAGCTTTGGGTGACGATGGCGGGGTTCTCTTCCTTCTCAGGTCGGCAATGAGGGGCGGGCGGGGGGCCGGAGGCGGCTACGTTCGGGTGACGGGTGAGAGAGGGGTCGGCTTTCCGATGAGCGGACAGCTGTCAGTGAAAGGTGGATGAGATCTTTGCCGGTCGTGTACGAGTGAGGATGAGAGTGTGAGAGTGAGGGTGAGTATGAGAAGAGGGCTATGAAGGGTAAGAGTGAGACTGAGAGATGGGGTGCTTCACATCATATGCTCATTCATCTCATTGCGGAGTGCTTCAACTTTTTGACAATCATCCATCGGTCGATTAATATGATCATTATGATCACTGATCACATTGTCTCAAAGACCTGGTCTTGGTGCATTTGATGGTCAATCGAGTATGATAACTATCGCTATGGACTGAGAGAGCGGGACTCTTTACTCGACTCACTGCGAAAGTTGCATAGCTTGCATCGAGTGTGAAGGAGAAAAGGCGACCACCCAAACACTGAAATTCGAGCATCTAATGGAAGAGGGAAATCGGGAGGCATTGTGGGTTGAACTGAAGACTTGCGATACACTGAGGTGGATGAGAAAATATGTTGCCAGTTAATGCATACCGAGCTGACCACAACACTACTATCCCCTTGTTACACTAATTGAACTTGATGCCTATTGCAAACTATGCATCTGGTAGGAAGAAAAACTAATTCAAACAAAGCAAAGAGAAGTAGTGGCAAGATCGCAAAGTAGAAAGTGAACCGTTTGGGCACCCACTTGACACCACAGGGGTGCTCGAGCGCATTCATCCACGGCCTGGCGTTGCAAACCTTGAAGGTCTGATGATGGATTGACCACCTCAACCCCCTTGGCATGAACCGCTGGTCGCGGCGGCAGTGCGGGCAGTGATGCTGCCAGGTAGTCTCTGAAGCAGAGATGACAGGCGCCCGGATCTGGACGATACACCACCGCTGCTGGGTCGGTAATCACGGCATTTTTCACCGTCGTCCATTCATCGTGGATGGGTTGATGTAGTTCATCGTGGACTGGCGAGGGGGGAGAAACGAGTTGGATCTTTTAGTCGAGTCGTCAAGCATCAAGAGGTGAACCAGCATGTTCCCTCCCAAAGTCGGGGAATCTCTGAAGCTGGTCAGTTGCCAAGACTCGGATTGAGTGCGGACAGCAATGCGTCGGGGCACCCGGATGATCGCCAATCGGTTTTGTCTGGGGTTCATTTCTTCTTCCCGCGGTGACATTCTAGATGTGACCTTTCCAGACTTGTCGGCACCCTTCCACCCTTCTTAATGATCTCATCCATCCTATATATCAGTCCTGGTCTTGATCACTTGGCTTCTTCTTAGCATACCGTACATGGCTATATCAAACCTGTCACCGCATCTTTTTCAGCGTGTGGGTTGCACTTTGCCTTCACCAATCGATCTCAAGACGCGTCAAAAAAGGCGAACATTTTGGACGCAATCGATGGCGTCTTCAATGAGGCTCAGCCCGGCTTGGCTTCTGTGTGTACCTTGGTCTAACTGCGAAGGTACAGCAGCGTTGTACCTAGCGTGCATTTGTTTCTACGGTGGAATGTTTCGGTGAGACGAATGAGCTGCGGGCATTGTGTATGTGTGTGTGTGCCAGCCATCTTTCGGCCATGCACGCCACGTAAGAGAAGGGCGGCAGAAGAACTTTCTTAGCCTTCTTTTGCGCGTGGGCTGATGCGTCGAACGCCACACAGTATGTAGAGGTACGGTAGTTGAGCAAACCCAAAGCGGGAACGCACAGCCAGGTGGCCGGAACGGCAAGGCAGTTTGCAAGGTCATCTACGGATACCTGCTCCGTACCGTCGGTGACCTATTCGTGCTATCCGTCCAGGATGCTTCGTGCCTCTTTTCCCTCGATGGAATGGTGACCATTCTGCCAGGGGTCAGGAGTTGTTGCGGCGCCTGTGTTGTCCCTTCTTGTCCTTCAAACAATCGGGGACCGGTTCATCTTGCCCCAGAGTCTTGGAGCATAGGCCTTTGGGTGGTTTTCTCAGACTACCTGTATGGATACCTTACTCGGGTCAAACGAAGAGCCACTTGGTGACCATGCATTCCTTGGCTTTGGAGTCTTTCTGCCCTCGGCCCCGAGAGATAATCAGCGGAAGCACATGCTACTACTGGTTCTAATACATAGATCCATTGAGTTGCTGTCTGCGTCAACAGGCAATGGAGAATCGTGAGACCTTGCTAGCATTGTCCGTATGAGTGATTACTTTCTCTCTCTGGAGTCTCGGCAACTCTTGGCCCAAGACTTGGTCCAGGACTTGAGATTCAAGTTGAGGTTCTGAAGACGTTCGGGTACTCCAACGGACTCTTCGGTCCCCTCCTCCGTAGCTCGACTCCTTCATCTTCTCCACTTTCTGTGCCGTCTCCTCCGCCTTTTCCTGCTTCTCTGACCTCTCCACCCCATACGCCTCCACGCTTCGTACGGGACCTTCAGCGATCCAGGGATCGTCAACGTGTCCGCGTATGCCCTGCCTCGTTCGCGTCGACTGCTCACCGAGCCCATTTATCCTCACCACTCACATGCGCCGGCGCTGGCGGCAGCTGTCCCCCCGGGTCGCCTGACAAGCTTAAACGAGGAATGGCTGGTCTCTCGAGCCTTGATTGCATAACTGGCTTTGGGCGGAAGACTATCCATACTCCAACTTTTTCTGCCGTTTATCCTCTCCCTATGCCCATGCTGCTGTTGAATCTTCATTTTCTTCATTGCCTCAAATTGTCAACCAATATCCACTCTCAGGGGGGATACCCCTAGCTATCCGAGCTTCAGTCAACTGCGATATCCCCTTTAATCATTGCCAGTCCGGAGCTTCATCACGACTACGTCCAGGAAAAAAAGGCCGACGGTCTCATTCATCAATCTTGATCGACGTCACTGTCCCTTGGTGAAGCTTCAAGAGCCCTGCCATCGTCCGACCTCATAAACCCCCAGCCACACCCTTCCTTCGACCTGTCCGCTAACCGCCTAGCCTACGGATACGCTTGTCACGCTTGTCTCTCCCGAGCTCCAACTCCTAAAAGAGGTCCCGGCCACCCTAACCGTTTTTCTATTGTGACACTCGTATCTGGGAAAGACTAGGGGACCAGCCTCCAAAGTGGGCAAGTCTCCAAGCAAATTCTCCAAGAGAAAAAAGAGAGAAAAGGACGAACAGACGAAAAACTTGAACTCCACCCTGCTGAAACGCGACGCATTGTCGCCACAAGGCTTAGGACCTCGGGATACCTCAACTCAACTCAACCCGCGACCCCTGCTATCTGCCCTCTGCCCGTTGGACCTTTCGATCTTTCTTCGCCGACGTCTTTCGTGCAGTGTGCTTCGCCTCGAGTTTCTATCCGTTCACTCCCAAGGTCACCACACCCGCGTCTTTTAACGCCTCTGCAGAAGGACACGGGCTACGCATCGTGTTACTGCTTGCTACTGCTTGCTGCTTGCTGCTTCTGCTGCGGCTGGCCGTCAGAGAACTGCCCGTTCTGCCTCAACCCGGCTTGCATCATTCTACTTTTCCCACCCTCACTTTCTTTTGAGTTCAGCTCTGCGGTCAACCCGTGTCTGCCATCTCCCGTCTGGCCTCTTCCTAAGCGGTTGAGGGCACAGCTGATACGATACGAGTCGTTCTGGGCCGAACATCCGCGAACCCCAGACAGAAGCCTCCCAGGCCCCCCAAACGAACGATCCGTCCATTCATCCAACGTCTCTTCTTCCACCACCGCCAATCGCCACTACCACCACACTTTGTATCCTCTTTATGTCAGCCTACCATCGATCCTGGATGCTTGTTCTCACCTCCGTTCATGCTATTCCGCCCAACACTGCTACCGGGCCATAGGCCGTCTTTTCCGCCGTCCCTCTGCCGTTGAGCGTGCAACATCATCTTGGGACGAAAACGAAACTTTGCGCCGCACGTCTCCTCTCTCTCTCTCTATCTCTCTTCTCTCAGCTCATCTCACGTAGCACTCCGCCTCATTCAACCTTACCCTCACGAGAGCTATCCGCTCACAGCTCTTTCTCATCCCTTCCCTTTCTTCCTTTTCTCCCCCTCCTCTCTTTCCCTAGCAGCATACGGCCAGGTCACCGCCGTGTAACACATCGCCAAACTGTCTCCGTTCCTATCTTCTCCCCCCGGCTCGCCCCCGATGCCGACTCCGCCGACAGAGGATGATCGCCAGCGGCGGATCATCCAGTTTGCGGAGGAATGGGGTCTCGAGCCCCCGCCGTCACCGACGCCCCTGACGCGGCCCTCCAGCCCCCCCAGCTTCCGGACCCCGGAGGACGACTTCAAGGCCGAGGAGCTGCTCAAGCGCAAGCAAATGTCACACGGCCGCACAGAATCAACGACTAACCTGCGGCGCGCCTTCACGGGGAAGAAGAAGTCGTGGGACTACAAGGTCGTCTTCGACACCCTCGACAAGCATGTCGCCGACAGCGGATCGCCCGGTGTGGCGGAGGCTCTCATCACACAGCTCGTCTCATCCGGCGGCGACGTCAACATGGCGCAAAAGGCAAAGACGAGTATCCTGCCTCGAAGGAAAAGTCTCGACAGCTTCGGCGAGCGGAGTAAGCTATTGCAGCACGCCGTGCACAATGGCCAGATCGACATGATTCAGGTCCTGTTACCCCACGCCGATACATTTGCCCTGGACGCCTCGTTACCGGTCGCCATGCAGTCTGAAAACGTAGAAGTCGTCGAGCTTCTTCTCCGCTACGGCGCCGGGGTAGCGCATAGTCCTGAGGCTCAGGAATCGTTCCGCCAGGCGTGTGCGGCGGGCGGACAGGCGGACTTGGTGGGAATCGTTCTCCGGTCTGAGGGCCGGCCACCGACTTCGTGGCTCTCGCAGTGCATGGTGGACGCGACCAAGGCAGGGTGTTTGGAAACGGTGCTACAACTGAGTCGATCTAATGCCGACGGCGACTACAACCAAGCGGAGGCGCTCAAAGTCGCGATCAGCCAGGGACGTCACGACATTGCTCTTGCGATACTCATGGGGAACCATCCGCCGAAACGCCCGGGACTGGATGAGGCTTTCTCAAATTTGTTGGATCACCCGTCGATGAACCCAAGAGACAAGCTTGCCGTAGCCGAACTACTACTTTGCGCCGGCACAGACGGCGACGCACCCGCCATGGCACTCATCCACGCCGCAGCTGCAGAATTCCAAGACATGGTCAGTCTTCTAGTCAAGTATGGGGTCTCAATAGAGTATCAGGACGCAATGGCCATTCGGAAAGCTGTTCAGAATGGACGGGTAGATGTCGCGCACATCATCCTCAGCGGCAATGCGGAACTCAGTGCAACACATGCCTCCGAGTGTGTCGAGCTCATACCGAAAAATATGGGCGTAGAGAGCCGTCGGTTATTGTTGGATTTGCTGTTACGGAGAGGGGCAAACGGAACTGCGCTGCATGACATGCTCATTGAGGCGGCGGAGGCAGGCGACGTCGATTCAGCCAAGCTTCTTCTCACAGCCGTCTTCCCTGGAGGACGTCCCATCGCCGAACATGATGTGAAGAAAGGACCGAGATCAATGGTGTATGACCGCCATCAAACGGCATCCGTTGATCACAAGGGCGGCTTGGCTCTGCAGATCGCAGTCATGAGAAGTGATGCGGCGATGGCCAAGGAGCTTCTCATGAGCAAACCATCAAGCGACACATTAGCCCAAATCTTCCCTCTCACCAAGACATTATCACGGAAAAACAGGTATCGCATGGTGGAGTGTTTCCTCACGAGCGGTCTTGCTGGGCCCATCGTTCACGACGCGTTACAGGAGGCCATCGACGAGGAGCCACCACACCGCGACGAAGATCTCATCGGGCTGTTTCTCAAGTACAACACCGATATCAACACCAACGAGGGCTCAGCTTTGGTAGCTGCGGTGTCACAAAAAGACGTGAGACTGCTCAATGCGCTGCTCAAGAAGAATGTGACACCTCACACTGCCGCTGGCGTACTGCCAAGGATCATTGCGACCCAGGATGCTAAGGCGAGGTTGGATATGGCGACGCTGCTTTTGACATCGGTGCCGGACTTGGACCCGGTCAAGGTCTCACAGGCAATGCTCAACGCGTTGAACTATCGGCCAGCTGATCTGAAGCTTCTGCAAGTGTTGTTGGTGCAGGGGCATGCCGACGTCAACGTTGACAACGGCATTGCCATGGCTTCCGGTAAGTGATTGTTAGCTAAGGGGAATAGTAGAGATGCTAATCTTTCGTAACAGCAATCCACAGCCATGACCCTCCAGTCCTAGAGACACTGCTCATGCACGGCAAACCTTCACATGCAACGGTCAGCAGGGCCGTCAGCGAGTTTGGGCAACTCATCTTCTCAGATACCAAGGCCGCCAAGCTTAAGATTCTCTTGCAAAAGACAAAAGATAGGGCTCCCTTCAACGACGTTCTCGTGAAGGAAGTCCACGCCCTCCTCCAGACCCTTCCTGAACATCGACAACTATCTATCGTCAAGGTCCTCCTCAGCGCCGGTGCCGACGTCAACTCTCACAACGCCGCCGCTCTTTGCCATGCCGTAGCCGCGAGCGACACGCAAATCACTGATCTTCTCTTCGCGGCCCGCCCAAACCCAGCATCGCTCGCGTCGGCCTTGCCCCACGCTCTGCGGATCGCCGACCCGATGGATCGTCTCGAGTTCTCCCAGAAGTTGCTTGACGCGGGCGCGCCTAGCGCTGAGGTAAACAGGGCTCTCGGGTTCGCTATCAACACCTACACAAACGACATACCGCTGCTCCGAACCCTTTCTGCCAAGGCCAACACAAGCGATGGAGAGGCCCTGGTTTCGGCAGTCAAGAAGGAGCGTCCTGATATTGTTCAACTCGTACTAGCTCAAAAGCACCCTCTTCCTGTGCTCAACGATGCCTTCGCCGAGGCGGCTCTTCTTTCTAACCGAGAAGCAAGGGCGGCGATATGCGAGGTGTTGTTGCAGCATGGAGCTTCAGGCTCCGTCCTTTCTGATGCCTTACTTGCGGCAGCGGCGGACGGTGATCTGGTCTTGGGTAATCTCCTCGTCAGCCACGGGGCGCAGATTGACGAGGATGCCATCGTGGAGGCATGTCGCTCGGGCGCCGCCGATGTTCTGAACATGCTGCTCAGCGGCACCACCACACCCAAGCGATCGACGATCGAAAGGGGCTTCCAAGCCGCCACAGAAGTCGGCAACCTCAAGACGCGGGCCGCCATCCTCGAGCCTCTCCTTGTCCACGGCGTAGAAGGTGAAGCACTCGACGCGCAGCTCGCATCCGCGGTCCGATTCGGTGAAGAAGGCGACGACCTGGTTAAGATCCTACTGGAAGCCGGCGCGGACCCGAACTACAACAAGGGCGAGGCCATCTGGGCGGCCACGAGGAGCGCCTACCTGAGCAGTCTGAAAATGATGCTGGGGTTGGTCGAACTCGGGACGCGGCTAGTGAGTAAACCATCAAGCGCCTCGTTGAGATCCATTGCCTCCGCCAAATCCCACGCTTCGTTAAAGGGGTCTAACAAAAGGAAGCCACACAAGCCCTCGCATGCCACGCTTAATAGGGCGCTGAGGGCTGCTTGGAAACTTAGTCGCGAACCCCGTGCCGCCGCGATCGATATGCTGTTCCGAGCCGGTTTGCCTGTTTCCGACGACTTACACGTAGTACTGAATAACGCGATTAACGAAGAGGAGCTCGACCTCAAAATTATCCGGTCTCTCCTCCGATACGGTGCCTCGCCGATCGCCAACGACTGCCAGACCCTGGTCGACGCTACGAGGAGAGCCCTGGTAAAACCACTTGCCTTCATGCTCGAGTCCAAAATCTTATCGGCCGATCTCAATCTCGCCATTAGAGAAGGGTTTACCCGGGAGAACACGGACGCTTGGTTCTCGGAAGCCGGCTTCACCATTCTACACAGCTTCCTGAAAAAAGGAGCCCACGGCGACGGTCTCAGCTCCGTCCTCACCCAGGTTGTCGATTTGCCGTTAACCGAGAGCGAGCCCGATAGCCTGGCACTCGCCAACGGCTTCGTCGATATCCTGCTCGATCACAAAGTCGATGTCAACTATGCCGACGGCAAGCTGTTGCAGTCGGCCGCCGCTGCTTGCAACTCCTTCTTGGTCAAGAGGCTACTAGAGAAAAAGCCCAACACCGAGTCCATATCCCGATCATTTTACCGCATCTTTGACAATCCGGCCTCGGAAGACGACGCCCTTGAATTA